TAATGGTTGCTTGAAACCTAGGTTCATCAATCAAACATAATGGCTAAAATCCTCAACTTGTGTCTTGGTGAGGAAATGCTATCCAAAGACCTCTCTCACGAAGCCGTCTGGAACTGATCCTAGTGGGCCCCGAAAGCCTTTAGAGATGTTTCGATGGGCCACCGACTTCTTGGAGAGGGTAGCCAATTTCTATGGAAAGGAGAGAGTCACACAGAAACTTGCACAGTGGAAGGTGGATGTCACAACATGCTTCAGTGGCATCGGTTGCGCTGAAACGGTAGCGAACCCAGCAAATGTCTAAATGAGTCAGTGTTTCAATATATGATGCAGCAGCTTTTCAACACACCATGAGATAATAAATATGGTAACACTCACTGCTTAACAGCCACCCTAACAAGGTTCCATCAGCCTTTCTCTCATACTCTGAGGCAATGAAGAGCTTGGACTATGCAGCTCGAAGGTTCACCTCGAAGTCGCGGTTCACCCAAGTGGAGAGCGAGTGTGCGTTCATGCGAACACTGTGGGCATGTGAGAAAGATCAGCATTGCCAAGATGTGCTCAAACGCACACATGGAATCTGTGTGTTTGATGATATCATGCACTTGGGCTACGGTAAGAAGTACTCCCACTGCACTACCCACAATCAAGCATGCCCATGCGCAGTGCCAAAGAATGGCAGAAACTCAGCTCTTTCAAGTACAAGCTTTTTTAACCAGAGATAGGACCCTACCATTTTATCATTTGAGGTCTTGCCTGTTCATCCACTCAGCTGTCTCTTGATCATTTTCCCTCTGAGGAATCCGGCTGAACATAGCAGGCCTGATTCGGGCGTTCGGGGACGAAAAATCTTCATGGTGTCTAATCTTCTTGACTATGATACTTATGTAATATATTTATATGATATCATGTTGAATAACTTTGGGTAACAAACTGACCCCCTGTGAGGTGCACCTTGTCAGCCCTTCTCAAACATGGGAAAGGGTCTCAAGGACAAGGACCCCAAGTACCAGGTTCACAAAAAGTACTACAAGGATGTTGTACCTTCGTGTGCTGATGTACTGATTTTAGAAAATGTTCCTGAATATGATATGCAAGCTGTGGTAGCACATGAACTTGGACCGTCTTGGAGCTGCCTTGCTATGGTGATTGACCCACGTTGTTTCGGGTTTGGAACTTCGAGGGCCCGTCACTATGCGTTGTGCTGGAGACGTGATAGAATCAAGCTGGATGTGAACTTTCCACTCATGAAGACAGTGGAAGCTTTGAAAGCTCGTCCCATGATGGTTGCGAAAGACTACTTCTGGCGAAAACTCCCCCAGCCAACATTGACTCCATCAGTGGCCTTTTGATAGCACATGATAGCACAAAGAGTTTTGATAAGTTACTTCACCCCCATACAAATCAAGTTCAGTAAAAAGTTAGTTGTAATGGTACCCACAGTTTCCAACCGTTTCCGATATGCCACACTTGAGGCCACCAACCTGGAGCACTATGAGAAGTTGGAGAAGCCCTGGGAGGTGGCAGATTTAATGCAACTGGTCAGGACTGGCCGTGGCCGCACAAATTGTGTGGATGGGTCGCTGCCTACATTGACAACAAATTCAGGGTATTTGTGGTCCAAGGTGATTGGGTGCAAATGTTTGTTTTGTGTTATATTCATGTAATGTAGGGGTTCAATATCCAAAAGATTCCAAAAGTCTATATGATGTTGCCCCATCCTATGGTTTCCCCAGAGGTGCATCGCAGATTTCTGACAGCCGATGAGTGTCTCGCTTCCCAAGTTGTGCCCGTGACGCCTGCACAGTCGCAGCTGTGCGGAGCACCACGCCTCGACACGGGAGATGCATCGGAGCGGACGGTGGTTCGCATGGCTGGCAATGGGATGCATACACCGTGCGTTGGGGTGTTCTTGTTGTGTGCCATGTTGGCCTTAGAGCTTCGCTAAAGGTGGTTTACAATTTAAAGCCGAAATTCAAAATTCGATGTGCGCGTTGAAATTCAAAGCATGGCCCCAATTTTGGGTGATCTTGCAGCAGAAGAATCAAAGCTGTGCCAAAAAAAATGTGTGTAACTTTTGCCAACTTGGATTGGAAGGTGTCAACCAATGGAATCAGTCATGACTTTATCACTGATGCTACCTATTTCTTCCAATGACAAAACAGCATTTTGATCACAGGGAGAGATAGGTGGTTGTGCTACAGCTATGGGTAAGCGGGGTGCTCCCAAGTCCTCGCCTCCATCGGCAAAAGTGCAGAAATGCCACCTGTCACCGTGGGCCCACAAGATGAAGCTTTGTGCTGAGTATCTAGGTTGAAACCTACGTCCCTACTTCTTTCTTTCCATGACCACTTTGGGCTTTCCACCATTACATAAGTAAGTGTGAATAATGGTGGAGTTTCGTACTTCAGCTGTGCCCAGGACCTTCGACCCAATGTCCAACCAGCATCCAGCACAGTGGGTGGTGGATCACTTGAAGCCAACCACTTATGAACCAATGAATGACTGGCTTGCAGAAGTACTTGGGGAAATTCCCCTGGCCCCAAGTGACATCATCATGCCGGACCAAAAGTTGGGTTGTTTTGGGAAAGGGGGATCGTATAATATTGATAGTTTATTGTCCCATGTTTGCATCTCCAAAAAATAACCAAAATATTATTTCTGGTGGTTCCTGGCTAGGACCTGTCAGATGGATGTGTCAAAGCCTTGGAGATCCCAGTCCTCACCCTGGCTCCCAAGATCCCCGGCGATGGCCTTCCATGTCTGGCCGACTGGATGACTCATGCCAGCTCAATTTGGAGCGTAGGTTTTGAGGCCTGGCGAGAGGCGCTTGAACTGAAGCCCCTCCCTGTCTGCGAAAGTGGCAAACCCATGGTTTTTGCGGGTTGCGAAGTGGTCAAAGGAGCTGGGAGGGCTTCAATTCTGTTGTTCACGGTCACCTACACCTATTTGAAGCTCAAGAATTCCCTTTCTGAGGAAGAGTTGAAGGGTTTCACCAGGTTTCCTGAAAGCAAAGCTGTAGATTTCAGAAGACTTTAGGTAGATATAGGTACTTATACATAAATGGGTCGCCTTTGAGACATCTAAAATTCAGGAAGTTCAAAGGTGATGCTTTCAGTAAGAACGTCGCCTTTCAAGATACCAGTGGGAGAGCCTGGGGAAAGCCTGGGGAAAGCCTGAACTGGATAAAGTATGGCAAGGTGATGCTCCGATAGAAAACGTCGTCTTTGGACTAGTCCCACAATATCAGGTAGCCTATTTGATACAATCAAAAACGTCGTCTTTGGGATAAATTTGGATATCATCAAGACCCCAAAGGTGATGTTCTTACCGAGAGCGTCGCCTTTGAAAATCATGGAACTTGGACTTGCCAAAGGTGGTGCATTTATATCCTCCAACTATGTTTCCAATTGATTACATTTTTTTGAAAAAATACACCTTTGACTTTTGACATTACTTGAGCACAATTGTTTTTTTTTAACTGAGGGTTTGAGCAGTGTGGTTCAACTTGATGGGGACATGATTCATTGGATTAGCACCCAAGAGATGAGGCCATAATATGTTTCTTGAAACATCAAGCTCAACTCTAACAAACGAAACCTGATCTCTTCCATGGATGGTAAAAGTTCCGTTTCAGCCGGCTGGCAATGTGAATCTAAAAGTGTTTTTTTCATCAATTCATGAGACTTGATACCCCTTGCTAACAGGTATGTCCACTCTGAGCCACCACAAGCTATCCCCCAAATTCATCCAAAAAAATACCAGGGCGTTTGCATTCACCAATGGACATAAAGAATGCCTAGCCACAACTTTCATGTTTTCTGAGAATGGGGCTCCACAATGAAGATAGTTTGAGTATGTTTGAGTATATCATAGTAGAGATTTCCTCACCAAAGAATGTAGCGATACAACATACAACTGTTACAACTAGTCAGTTGGTTTATGTCTGACTTAGCACATGCCCCCACACAGCCCCTTTTACTGCCTCGAATCCAAGGTGGCTTCGCACGGCGGTGGTGATCAAAGGGACCTTCGTGCCACAGGCTTCCGAGCAGGACTATGTGTGGCGTCGGGTTCAGGTCAGTCAGATCCAGGCAGAGAGACAGAAGAAGTCTATCTTGCAGCTGGCAATGATTTTCCATGGCAGAGCCGAGAAGATCATGAAGGACTCTCATTTACCACCAAAATGGAGTTATATGGGTCCCTGGGCCTATATGCATATATGTCCAATGTGTCTTACCAATAAGTTAATCTTCTAGATCGGTTTCGGTTTCACAATCATTTCCTTGCCCGAGCAAGCCTCGAGCGTCCAGGAGTCAGCTGGGCAGGACTACAAGACGGCATGGCACCTGGCCATTGTGGAGTACAACAACTATGGACTGGCTGCTGTCGATTTCAAGCACCAGATTGACCAATCGAATGCAAAGTTGATGTATGGTTTCAAGGTCTGGATCATATGAAACAATATCATATATGATATGAGTATGTATCCTTTGGGTTATGTTCAAAACGGGAATGAGCTCTGATCTATTCATTACCATCTCCCCTGTTTCCAATACTATGCGATCGTATGATGCTATAAGAGATATCTAGTAAGATGTATTAAGATATTATATCTATTTTTAAGATATCTAGTAAGGGCTTAAGATATTTGTGTTCGAGGGTTCAGCTTAACAAAGACAGGTTGGTGTGTCACCAGAAGCATGGGGCTTGATTGAGAAGCATTTGCACGTGAACAAGTTCGAGAACAGTGGTGCGGGTTTTTGAAACAAGTTGAGTCAGTTGGGTTCTTGTATATCTTCAACCGCTATTGATTTAAAATCCATCAGTTTTCAACCCAAATAAGGGGCAACTTGAAGGGTCAAATTTCCCATGCCGTCCCACACTTGCCACATCTCATCTGCCACCCTGCAGCCTTCTCTCAGCAAACGTTGCTGAATGGACGTTGGCTCCTGGATGGCGTCCCAAGTGGAGTGGATGGGCTGTGGTACGATGTGTTGAAAATGACTTCGGCTAAACAGTACATATTCATTTCGAGGGTTTTGTTCATCTATGAGGTGGCCAAGCGCAAAGCAGGCAAGGCTCAGATCCTTCGAATTTCTCCTAGTGATTGGGATGTTGAAGCTGACATTTGTTGCTTTGCAGCTGATGTCATGGAGTCAATGAGGGTGGCTCGGGATGAAAACAACATGCAGATCTTTGCAACAGACCTTCTGACGACATTGTTGAACAACTTCCTTGAGGGGTACCTTGTTTTAAATAGTAGTTTTTGAAATCAGCGGAAAACAGATTTGACTTCCGAGTTGTTCTAACTCCCAGCCTCTAGCAACAGATTCCTTTCAAGGCACTCTGATCACCAATAGTCACCACTAAAATCAAAAAAACAAGCCCATAAACATCTGATGAATTCTTGGGAGTCAAGCAATGTCAGGGACTACCACGAAGAGTTCAAGCCGATTGTGGAGTGCCGAGACCCCATGTATAAGCCTCACCATACCACCCTATGGACAGAGAACGTGACCAAGAATGGCAACACACCAGGAAACCAACTGATCCAAGCTGATCAAAAAATTGAAACCATTCAGGTGACCCAGAACAAGCTCCAATTCGACGCTGACGCCTTGACGCTTGCACGAGACGCTTCTCTGCTGGCAAACCTGTACAAGCAGCAGATGAAAAGCGAGCGGGCTCAAAGGCTTGCGAAGGTCATGCATATCAAGCAGCAGAACCAGATTGGGTCAGGGATTGTTGTTCAATACATGGAAAAGAACAGCAAGCATGTGTCTGGCCCAATGCTTGATCTTGCATTAGCGCTCGACAAGGACCGCTTGGTTTTCACATCCACCATCGAAAAGATGATTGTAATGGTTCCCATCACTTTTTGGTTCAAGTATTTGGTAAAGTTTGATTCACGTATTTGGTAAAACTTGATAAAATTTCATGTCATATCAGTATAACGACCCTGTATGAGTAACTGCTATATGAACTTTACCTTAATAACAGAATTCATTGAACCCCTTGGGGTCTCTTGGTTCACATCTCACAGTCATGGACCCGAGGCCATTGACTGCGCAGTGCGAGATGATTCTGCTATGGTGGTTTGGGTCGACTACATGAAATATGGGGTGCTGAGCAAGGATGAACTCAACAACACAGTTTCGTTGGTCCACAAGGCCCTCAGTCGCCTTCCCGATGCAGCTGTTGGGTTCGTCATTGGGCCCAATTGTTCATCTGACCGGCGGGGCGGCATGCGAGAAGAGCTTAGGCTACAGGGGTGGAAGGTTAGGCCCCAAGGTTTACCAACAGGACTCCAGCACCCCACTATTTTGAAAAGTGTTCATGGGTGGTGGTAATTATTGTTTTCTTACTTCCCTGGTAGGCGCATCGAAAACAAACTCGATGCCAAAGGTTTGGATGCTGAGACGATCCATCTTCGATGCCAAAACCCTCCTTCCACAAAGCGAGTCCAGTTGAATTTCCCATGTTGGCTCGTATTCAATGGGGGCGTCAGGGATGGCAATGTCTGGTGGCAGTCTCAGCTTCAGCAAGACAAGTAACTAGTCTTGATTAAACAATGTTTTGGTCGGAAAGCCTGTTTTGTGTGTGGACCAAACTGATAATAAATTGTTTACCTTTGCTTCTATGTCCTATGTTGAAATTCAACCGACCAAAAGGTGTCTTCGGGATTTGCTTCCTTGGACCCCTGAGAGTCAGTACGTGGTTCCTGGCGCCGACACACTACATGCTTCGGAAGGAACCAGGCCGGTTTTCCCAAAGCTAGGCTGTTCTTTGCAGAGTCTGAAAATAGCTACATAATTTGTTCAGTTGATGGTAGAAAAAATGTTCAGTTGTTTGTAGTGCAATTAGAAATAACATTATTATGTTTTAAACCATAGATTAATATATGATATCTATATTTTGTGTTGATGACAAGAACACAGTCATAGAACCAGCCCATCTTCTATTTATAATAAAACATCATATTGTGTTGTTCTGCCCTTTGGTAAGTTTCTGTCACTCCCCGGACCGCAAGCCCAGGGCGCTGTCAGTGCCTCAAGAGCAAGCTCAACTTCTTTGTGGCAAGGACCTCCCAGAGAGATTGCTGGCAGCTTTGCTGACAGGCACCAAGGTTGGGAAGTCGGTCATGGTGGTCAACCTGTCTCCCTATGATGCCTGGTTAGAGCGTGCTTGCATGGAATGGTCAATTGGGAATCCTGATCGCGAGATCAAATCTCTCAGCCTGGGCTTCAGCTTAGCTACAGTCTCCTACTCGGAGAAACTATGTGCCATGCATCTCTTGGAGGACTGATTTTGAAAGAAATCTATTGAGTGGATTCACAATGTTTTACTATCAAGATATACCCAGGTGGCTGATGAACATCACTAACATGCTACTGATTCCTTTCATAAAGACTTCAGTTCATACACATACACACACACACACACCCTCACATCATACAAACATATGAGGATTGGAAGTCAGATTGCTTGATCCTGGGACCCAATGTTCGTCGATGGGACCCGAATCCACCAGCTGAAGAAGAGCTAGACCTGAACAACATTCAACTGAAGATGGCCCAGCTTTCGAGGGATCCTACCAAGAAGGGTTGGCAATCCTTCCAAATCTCTTTGAGCAACGAGGTCCGAGCTCTTCATCTCAGTGATCCTTTGAATGCCCCAGCCTGGAAGGATCTCATCACGGACTTTGACAAGAAGCCACTTGGTGCAAATCTTCAAACCTGAGCACAACAATCGTTAGGACTTTCAGTGACCTGGTGTGATTCAGGTTGATTCCATGAGGTGGCAAAACATCTTGAAATCCTGGAATAATGTGTGGAATTTTGTTATGTATTGCATGCTAGGAGCTTCCTTGGATCAATAGCTACAGTCCCAAACCAAGCCGAATCTGAATTCAGTTAGCTTGCAGGTTTTGTGGGAACATGGTCACCCAATCGACAGCCCTGGTGGCATCAGAGGAGGATGGGGATGAGGTGAGTAAGGAACCTGAGCCCTGGGTGTCAGAGCCAAAGTTGCTGTCTGCCTTGATGGATGAGTACATCATCGAAAACAAGTTCCCAGGGCGTGCCCCTGGCACATCATTGTATGTTGTTCAGGCACGCAAAAGGAATGGAGAAACCACTGAATGCTTGGAAGGGCAACACTTGAAGCTTTTCCTGGTTTTTTATCTGCACCCAGTCCCATTCGTTTGATATCAAAAAGAGTAACAGGTTATATTATATATTAGTCATATTATTATATAGATGTTATGTCTCATCCTCTACCCGACTGAAAATGCTGAGGCTCATGTTGAATCTAAGTCAGCAGATGAGACTGATGCCTCCATCGCTATCAACAAACTAAGGTTGCACACCAGGATGTCGACGTTGACGACAACCAATTCCAGATTTGCCATGGTAAGAGCACTTTCTTGAAACCAGAGAAGGTGGCCAAGATGCAACGTGAACATACTGGATCAGGCTAGATTGCAGCCATATACATTCGATACCATTGGGACATCATTGGGACATCTTTTCTGCTACTATGAAGCTAATAAAGTCTTGTATCTAGATGTATCTAGTATGGATTTGAATCAAAAATACTTCTTGGAACTGTCGTGCTCTCTTACTTGCCCCTTCCCCGACAAGTGACAGCTCAGAAGTTCTTGGGTCCCTTGCACTCGTGGCTTGTGTCCTCCTTTGGTCCTGAACGCCATGACTTCGTTGAACGACATCTTGGCTCAGCATGGGTTTCAGAAGGACTATTTCTGCTAAGGGTGGGTTCAAGTTCTGTTGGTAGTGATCTTAAAGTTCATGATCAATCTCATGATCATTTTTTTAAAATGACCAGTCTCATGATCACGAAGTCGAAGACCTATTGGACCCAACAGTTTTTGTTGTTTGAATGTCTCACCCATTGGCAGGATATGTCCGACATGATAGACTCCGACCCTGGCGCCCTGCAGACTCCAAGTCCATCAGCCCCAGCCCAAAACTCAGCCCAATAAAAGTCCAAAATTGAACTCTTACTCAGCCCTCCAATCTCAATTCCAGCTACGTAACAACAGTTCATCACAGTATGGTGTCTGAGGTGTTACGCAGCCCTGATGCAGCATCCGTGCAGAGCCAGCCAAAGGTCTCTCCTCCTTCTGCCGGTTCTCTTCCAATGCGCCGTGCGAAACCTGGGGGTGGAAATGCAGAGGCTGCGTTGGGCCCTGAGAAACTGGCTGAATTGAAGAAAGAAGTGTCAGAAGCCAAGAAGGATAACAAATTACAAAGGAAGGGTAGCAAGGCCACGATTGAGAAAGGGTTTGTCCCAGAGAAGGTGAAACCAGAGGTCACCCTTGATGTGCCTAGTGCAGCAACCGTGAAAAGAAAGGCTGAGTCGAGTGCTGCTCGACAATACTTGGAGTCTTTGGCAACCCCTGCCAACCCTGGTGCTCAGAAAAAACCTGCTGCCAATACGAACAGAACCAGGAAGGCCAAGGCCAAGGCCAAGTCCAAAGCGAGTTCTTCCAAGAAAGACAAGAGCCATACCAACAAGGCTAGGTGTCTTGGGTTGATTTCTTTCTTCCAAAGACTCTTTAGGGACCCACAAATTCTTGATATTATGTCAACATTCTTCAAAACATTGATTGAATGGTGCATGATAGTATCTTAGATGGTTGACAACAACATACAGCTCCATCAAGCACAAGTTTCCATTTGGGTTCCTATCTTTATGTTTTGATGGTCAGTAGCATGGATACCATGGTTTCTCTGATTTAGCCAAGACTTGACCTCGAAACCTTGCTGCCCTCAGGGTGCCCGTGCCAAGTCTCGCAAAGCTGCCATTGCGGCTGCTGCCAACCAGGCATGCAATGCCTCATGTGGCTTGAGTGTTTCAGGTTATGGATGGTGGGTTTAGCAGGATGTATTACAAGCATATCATTATCCTTCAAAAAAATCAGGAGAGCTATATTAGCTATATGATAATATGTATCTTTTCTGATGCCTAGATATGACAAGTTTTACTTTCAACTTTCAACTGTGTTCTCAATGTTTACAAACCAAGGAATATCATAGTCAGTGCCATCATGACCCATTTCTTGACAGGACAACGAGGAGATCCTTGACTTGGTGGAGGATGATCATGAAGGTGGTGAAGAGGAGAATGGGGGTGAGTCTGATAGCATACTGTCCCAGGAGACTTTGGTGTTGCCAGGGAAGGGTGATGATGGTGAATCTGATGGTGATGACCCCCAGAACGAGCCGGTTGCACCTGATGTCCCCAAGTCCGAACCCACACAGAATATGAGAGAGCTCTACTGGAAGGTCGTTCATGAGGCTCAGACCAGGATTCGCAAGGCCCACCCCAAGATGAAAGCTGCCGAAGTCCTCAAGTTGGCCCGAGCAGAGCGTTCTGACTGCACTTACCTTCACTTAGAGTTTCAACGGGCACTGTCATGTGGTTGGACATTCAATCCTTTTCATACGAATAGTGTCAGAAAGAATTAAAATATGATACATCAAAATATTGTGTTTCATGGCTTGTATGCTCAGACTTGTACTACTTATCTGAACTATGTTCCCCCAAAATAAATTTATGATACTTCTTGATTGGTTCCATTCCAAATCCTGTTGAGGTGGAACGAACATCCAGAGCGCTTGAACATCATCAAGAACATGTCGAAGAATGATCTCTCTAAGCGTCGCTTGATGCCTGATGCCTCCAAGAAGACCCGAGTCAGAAAGACTCAGTCTTAGAGTGTTAGATGTCTTAGATCAATCTTAGAGACACCTTCCTGCCTGCATGCCTGGATCAATTGATGGGGATTACATGCAAACCTTAGCAGGTACATCCAAATACCAAAGCCACCAAAACGATGTTGATATGAAAACATATCCGAAGCATCTTTGATGACTCAATGTTCTTATACAAATTTGTTTTCAAATTGGATTCCATACTGCCAGGCTATGCAGTGGGTGCTGTGTCAATGATTCGTCATTTTGGGGTCTGACTACATGTCAGTCGGTAGTGGAAGGATGTTTGAGATTCGTTAGGCTAGATTCTCAGGGTTTCCGGTGCTACTGACAATGGCAACGATGAAAATCGAGCATGTCTACCAAGTATGCAAACCAAATGAAATATGATCAGTTGAAAATCAATACAGCTCACCATTCAGTGGAAAGTAATCCTACATTTGAATTCATGCCTCTTTGGCAGGGGATCCCATGGCCCACACGGTCCCAGCCAAATGGACATCTGATCAATGCCGAGTCGTTCTTGAACTACCTAGCGAGAGTAGCAAGGCCACACAGGACGCGGCTCCTTGCACGATTCGACAGCTCTTGATCGAATTCGAAGAGTCTGGCATCGTGGAGGTTTGCCTGCATCAGCACACGTGTGACCGTCCAGGTGCTGATGTGTCCACAGGCTGGTACCATATCGAGGGTATATCACAATCGGTATTATTACCAAAGTATACCAAGTATATTTGCTTAGTAATTAGGCTGAATTATTGAGAAGGTTCTGCCACAAAGACACTACTATTCAGTGAAGTATTTTTTGTTTACCATGTGTTTCTTGTTTGAATTGAACTACTTACTGAAGCGAAACATGCATTCATCACCTGCCAGAAAAAGACTACTTCGTGGTGACCCCAGAGAAGTCGGTGCCCATCTTCTCCTACACCCCTGGCCTGGGCAACATGAAGTTCTCCACTGCTGCGAGCGGGTTTACAAACCAGGCATGTCTAAGGTTTCTGTTGAATTGGGTTCAGCTGAATGAGTTTGAACCAAATTGACTGGTTTGGTATCTCTTGGTCACATCTGAAACATGTTGATCAAACTATTTGAAGTACGTGAAGTGAAAAGAACATAAACACAATTTATTATGTTAGCTGATTCTCTGTCTCTTGGCTCCTGTTAGCTTGGCAGGTGTTGGAAGCCAGCCGCACGTTGGTGACATGTTGGCGGGTTGCATACTTGAAAGCTGAGAAGGACTGTCTGGTTTGTTGGTTCACCTCAACTTAGCTGTCAGACACTGTCAAACTACTAAACTTTTTTGCTAGGATCACATCATACTCATGTTATATGAATACTTGGATAAAATCAATCGCACCATAAGCTGTCTCATCCGTGAGCTCCTCAGGAAGTTCGGCCACGAAACTTGGACAAATGTGGTATATCAGAGTCTGATTATCAGAGGGGCTTGCTGAAGCTACAATGGAAGGTAGGTAGCCCTTTTGCAATTTCTTTTTGTCGAGTCTCTATCTGAGGAAAACCCTTGTATTTTCTTCGAAAGCCTTGTTCGCTTGCAGCGAATGAAATCCTGCGTTTGCTTTAGTTCGCTGGGCTGCTAGTGGATCAATGGTCACTCAATTGGAGTGTTTGGGTTGCCAATGATGATGTGGACCCATTCTGTCAACATCTTAGCTCTCAAAAACACTTTATCATTTTACAATCTATAACCTTTAATCACTTGAGATGTCACTAGACAGTTCCATTGGTCTTAGTTGCATCTCTTCTGGGACATGTCATCTAATGGCTCTGGGTATGCGTTCACTTGGCCAAAAAGGCTTGAGCGAGATTGCAAACCGGGTGGAAGCTGGAGAGAGAAAAATCAAGGGCTCTTGGAAACCCTGGTTGATCAATGTTGGCCGCTCTCTCTTATTCTCCACTTGATTCTCCAAAATCCATCCAGAAACTCAAGGTTCCTGATAGTGATACCAAAAGGCACAAGGTATCAAATAAAATGAAAAGGGTATCGATTACAATGAAATTGACTTATATACATTATATATATATATATACATATATATATACACATTATATCTATTCACATATATATATACACATTATATATATATATATAAACAGATACGGAACTATCTCGGGAGATCTTTCCAGTTGCGACGGGGAATTTCACCAAGGAATACACCTGGCCAGATGGCTCCAAATTCACTGGCCAGTTCCAGCGCAACAGGAGCTCCAGTTTTTTGACGGTGGACCCCGGTGGAAAGACATGAGTTGAAACTCAACGAATCCGCTTGGGATATGTTTGGGATATGTTTGGGATATGTTTGGGATATGTTTGGGATATGTGACTGTGGGTTCTGGTTTGATCCTGAAGTGTGGGAGGATCCAATGTAGTGTTTTGTCTGAACTCAAGTTGTAGAGCTAGTAGATACCCTCTGGTAATTTAAGAAGCCATTTTTATAGTTGATTTACCTATTGAAAATCGTGATGTTCTACAGCTGTGTAAACGTTTGCCAGAGGGTATTTTGTAATGGCATCTATTGCATTCTATTGCTATTTATCCGTGTAGAATCGCATGCCATGATGCTCCATAGATGGTTTGAGGACTATGCCTGACTATGCAGCATGGCACACATACACTCGTATAGTTTTACATTTAAATGGTGGTGTATGCGAAGATATGCGAAGTATATAATAACAGTATGTACATACCACATATATACCATATATATATATATTGGGTATA